GACCTCGCCCCACAGTGCTCACTGTCCCATCTCTAGGCTCTGTGTCTCCATCGGAGACAGGGGCCCTCATCAGATGATCCCTACCATGGGGCACAGAGGGGGCTCAACAGACTTCCTTCACAAGCCTGGCACCAAGGGCCCCAACCCACACCTCCATCTCGGCGGCCAGGGTGCCTGGGTGAGGTGTCCTCGACTACAGGAACCGATGTCTGGGGACAGTGGTGGGGAAAGCCAGTGAGCCAAGCAAGGACACGCAGAGCTGGGGATGTGCAGGGTCGGGTGCCATCAGCCCCCAGCAACGGCCACCCTGGTGCCCACCTGTGGCCTTGGCCTCCTGCCCTGGCTGTGGCCCCGTGTGGTTCCTTGTGGGCACCTGGCTGCAGACGTGTCTCCACCCTCGGAAGTGGTCAACCACAGTGGCCAAACCAGTTCCTGTGCCTGGGATTCTGGGCTGTCGTTCTCAACCGCAGGCACATCTGTGACACCCTCCCTGTCCAGGAGCCTGCCACTGTCTGCTGTCTGATCAGGGCTGGGCAGTGCCGTCTCCAGAAATCAGCTCCTTCCCACAGAGGCAGGTTCCTGTCCCTCCTCCATGCTGGTCGGACGGGGGAGCCCTGCACATGGCCGCAGGGCAGCTCCTCTCCTCAGCGTCACAGGAGATCGGGGGCTTAGCTGAGACCTCTAACTGTGCCTCTTCGGGACGGTCCTTCCCTGCATCCCAGCTCCCACCTCAATCCCAGAAATACTCATAAGGCTAGAGTCTGGGAGGAAGGAGAGAGAGCTATGGCCCAGGGAGAGGGCTAGACAGATTTTTTGGACTCTGCCTCCCAAATGTTCAATATCCCAAGTCTCCATTCCTGGGGTCCCTGGGTCCCTGCCATCTAGCAGGTCTCAGTGTAACAAAGGTCACCACATACTGGATGCTTACCAGGGGCCAGGCCATCATGCGAAACTTTTTATGATGGTTTAAATTTTCATGATACTTCTGGGGTAGGATTTGTCCCCATTTTATAGATGAGGGCACTGAGGTCCCGAGTGCCTGACAACAGTCACTCAGGTCAAGCCCAAGCCTGCCCACCTGAGAGCCGGGAGCTTGTCCTGGGTGCGAGTGTGGGAAACAGCTGGGGAGGCCGGGCCTCCTGGTGCCCTCTGCTGGCCTCGGCACACCCTGCACCAGCTGAGCGTCTCATTCCCAGTCAACGTCCCCACCCCTGCTCTCCAGCCCAAGATCCCTGTCCCACCCATGAGTTGGTTCAGGGCAGCTGTCCCCGGAGACAAGAGGACAAGGGTGGTGGGCCTTGGCTGCTCTGAGGCACCGAGCAGTGACCTTGGTGTCTTGGTTCTTGATGTGACTGGGCGTGGTACAGGTGACCCCAAGTCAGACAGGGCTCCTCTCTCCTGCCAGCTGCCCCAGACTGTCCTGGGAGGACAGGGCCATGGGGACTGCTGAAATCTGATGGGCTCTGGCTCCCTGCCCTGGCTGCTGGCTCCTGACTGGGGCCACCCCTGGCCTGGGCAGCATCCGACCCTCATCCTCTCCACAGCCACCCACTGTGACCAGCAGGGAGAAGGCCGGGGTACAGGGTCTAGGGACAGGATAGGGGTCGCCAGGGCAGAAGAGAGGCCAACTGCACTGATGCTGGGTCTGAGGGCGGGGGACAAAAAGCTGACTTTGAGGTTGCTGGTGACAGACAAGGGCCACCATCCTCTCCTGTGACGATCTCAACTAGCCTCGAGGCTCCACCTCACTGCTGACTCCCCACAGCCCTGACTGCAGCTCTGACCCGCCAGGACCAGGCCCTCCTCTGGCAGCCTAGATGCAGGTCCCAGGAGGACCCCACCTCCCCTCCAGCCCGCCCATGTGGCCCACCATCTCAGGCTTCCTTTGTCTCAGGCTTTGGTAACCCTCAGGCCCAAATCCCTCTTCTCGCTGGATCCAACCCTCCCCCTCCGCCACTTGCCAGTAGCCACCTCTCTGGTTCCCAGCTCCTGCCTTGGCCCCCAACAGTGCACTTTCAGCACCTTGGCCAGAGGGCTCTGGTGGGGACGCTGGGTGCAGGGATGCCTGTTCCCACCGTCCGTCAGTCCTTCCCTCCTCACCCTGCAGGAAGCCAAGCTCTCAGACACCATCAGACCCTCCTCCCGACACCCTGGTGCTTGGGCTTGCTGTTCTCTCTGCCTGGAGTGTTCCCACCCAGACACCCACAGACCCCTGGCCTGCTCCTGCCCAGGATGAAACCGCGACCCTCCTTGCGCCCCGTGCCCACAGCACCTGCCATCTCTTGACTTATGATGTCTGCATCTGTCAACTGCAACCAGGATTAACTCCACGAGGGCAGGGGTTTGTCTCTTTGGTCACTGCTAGATTCCTGATACCAAAAACAGAGCCTGGTACATAAATGATGTTCAATAAACACAAACGAACTGCAAAGGGGTGGTCGGGCGAGCGGAGCTCCTTGGGGCTAGGCTGGTGCCTTCTTGACAGGCAACAGCCCCAGGGACAAGCCCCAGGCCCACTGGGAGGGCCAAACACTCCCCAGAAGCACAGGTCTCCACCAGGGTCTCCAGTCCGCCACCATCTTCCCATCTGGCCCAGGGGGTCTCCTCCACTCCCTTACCACCTCCCCATTCTTCAGGTCTCAGCTAAGTGTCACTTCCTCAGAGAAGCCTCCAGACACTTGATATTCCTGGCCTGACTTATGGTCCCTGACTTCATGTCCTCCAGGACTTGTGACCCTAGGAGCTAGGTATTCACAAGCTCAGCACCAGGCCTGCCTGCCCCACACAGCCGCCTGTGGACGGCTGTAGATTAAATGAGGTCATTCACATGAATAAATCGCTTAGCAGGAGCTGGTCAGTCAGTCAGCTGGTGTCAACCATAATTACAGTGGACACCCGCTCATCATTGAGAAGGAAGAGCTCAACTAGGAACTGTACAGCTTGGTTGAGCCCCGGCCACAACTTGACTTGTTTTTGATGATGTCAGCTCCTGCCAGTTGCAGAGGGCCCGGCCACTGCAGCACTGGCTAAGTCTCAGGCCGCCCCTGGGCACCAAGGGCTGTCCACAGGACCAGCAGCATCCATTCACCTGGGAATTTGCTAGAAATGTACAATCTTGCCCTTCTCCCAAGATCTGTTAAACTGGAAATGTGCATTTTAATACGTTCGAGTCCAATTAAGAATTGTCCCAGATAACACAATCTCAGAACCAATGGCTTAAAAACAACAACAAAGTGCAGTCCTGGTTTCTATCTTCATCTGACAGACACCTGTCAGACATCATGCTGTCTCTCTGAACACCCCTGGACCCTGGAACTCACACACTGTCTCCCCTGCCTCAAAGCAATCTTCTCAGTTTTGAAAGCTGGGGTTACCGTGAATGGCCCCAGAGCTTACTCTCTTGGCAGCCAGACAGAGCTGGACATTAGGTGGTGTCTGGGAAATGGCTGGGTCACAGCAGGTAGGTGAGGGAGGGCCTTCCCAGGAACAGGGTGGGAGGCACCAGGCACAGCCTGAGCTGGGCAGGGAGGGGAGCCGAGAGGAGGTTTGTTCTGCCAGGAGGGCTGGGCCCAGACCACTGCCCTTCCCGTCCCCCAGACTCAGCTGAGAGCCCCCTCCCTGTCACCTAGCCCCCGTGGGAATGGCCCAGGCCAGAAGCTACCACCAAATTTGCTCTTTTCTCCCAGGGCCCAGTGACTTCTTGACAGGTTACAGCCCCAAAGACAAACAGATTCTGCCAAGCAAATAACTGTTCAGCAGTGGGGGTGCTGGGAGGCCTGGGAGTGGGCCTGAGCAGCCAGGAGACCCAGGTGACTGGGTGGAGGTCCCTCCCCTGCAGAGAACAAACAGCTGTGGGCACCTGGAAGGAAGCAGGATGCAGGTGCACTGCCCTAGGTGGAGGGCACTTGCCCCGGGGGGGTCTCCGGGCGGGTCTCCAGGCTCCTCACCCAGGGCTCTGTATCAGGTTGCTCCCTGAGAATCAGCAGGCCTGCCTTCAGGCCCTGGGGCAGGCTCCTTGTGGGGCCTGTTTCCTTCATGCACTCTGCAGCCAGAAGTTCCTAAGCTGCCTACCGGGAGGTGCCAAGGCACCTCCTCCCTCAACTCCTGCACCACAGGCCCCCAGCGAACATCATCACTTGGAACTCGGTTCTGCCAGGCAGGGGGAGGCCCAGTCCAGGACCCTGCAGGTGGATGTCTTGCTTTTCTGATCAGTGAAAATGATGCCAGAGCCGAGAGGCCATGGTCTGAGCCTGCCTACTCCCCTGAGCTGTGGAGACCAAGGCCGACTCCCTTCCTTCCTTCTCACAGAGGGTGACGCTGAAGATACCACCCACCTAGAGGGGTGAAGTGAGGAAGCCCACCATGTGCCGTGTATTGGATGATAAAGTTGATTCCAGGCTGCTCCCTGAACCCCATAAAGTCTAGCTGTCTCAGGGAAGTACATGGGGGGGGCTCATCAACTACCGAGAATGTGGGCTCAACCTCTCAGACCCCCCAAAGCCCAAGTCCGTCATGAACCCACAAGGAGACCTTTAAGCACACAGGAACTACACCCGCCACTGCAGGACCAGGTAAAATGCATTCCACCTTCACCTAGGAAGCCAGGGGCCTGTCCTGTCTGCTCTTCGGATAGGCAATGTGCCCAGATATCTGCTCTGCCATCTCACTATGCCATGCACTGGGCACACAGGCCTACGCAATGGCTGCCGGCTGCTCAACACCACTTGGCTGGTATTTTTTCCATGCTGGGAACAGAGGAGTGATCAACAGAGGCGTGCCACCCTGGTGACCTAAAGGTCATTTGGAAGCAGTTTCTTTGCCTTTCTGGTCACTGGGTACCAGGAAGGACAGCTGTAATCCAGGACTGACATCCCCCAATACAATGATCTTTAGGATCTCAGCTTTCCCATCTGCAAAGGGGAGACCCCCAAGACCACACAGTGTACATCGCAGGGCCACACACAGGCTTGAAGGTGCAATGAGACTCAGAGACACATGCAGAGCTTTTTTTTTGTGTTAATTTAATCATACAAATATTCATCTTTACAGTCAGGAAAGACCTCCTCGTCTTCACCTCCTCCTAGGCCCCATTGGCCCCACCACACACACCGACCAGCTTGCTCGCTACACACACCACCGTCCAGGTGGAAGGGGCAGCCGTCACCGCCCCTACATTCACCCAAGGGTACAAAGGGAAGCTGAGGCACAAGGCGGGTGGGTGAGGGGAGAGGATCAGTTTACATTTCAGAGCCCTGGCAACCCCGCCGCGCTCTCCTGCTGGGGGTCGGACTGAATTTGGGGAGGTGTTTACTTTCATGCCCACTTCCCACCTTGGCGCCCCCAGGCCACTGGCTGTCTTGGTGAGGTTTTCCTAGGCTCAAAGTGCCTTGAAGTCACAGCCAGTCCTTACTGGGGCAGAGAAGGCTGTTTCTTGTAGAAAAAATGCCCCAAATTCAATGTCCCCATGGCAAAAAAAAAAGGCATGCACACACACACACACACACACACACGCACACACACACACACACACCTTTCACTCCATGCACACGGACAGGTTCTTCCCAAGACCGCACCTCCCTGGCCCTATCACCCAAAGATGGTACCTGCCCTTGCTTCTTGGGTGCCTGACACTGGTGGTCCTGTCCAGATTTTAAGAGGAGCAAGGGCTGCTGGAGATGAGAGGCAGCCTCTACCAGCCAAGCGGCAAGGGAGGAGAAAGGGGCATCAAGCACTGCTCAGAAGCCATGCCACTGAGGGGAGGGAGAGCAAATGGCCAGGACCCTCTTCTGACCCTAGGAAGCCACAGAGCAGGGCTTGAACTTGCTTGAGGCTCATCTTTCCAAGGCCAGGTTCAGAAACTGTTCTTAGGAAGGAAGTCAAGGTGCATGGGACATCTAATTTGCCAGGGGAAGATGCCTACACGCAAGAGGAGCGGATGGCTCTGGCAGGGCTGGACTTCAAGAGGGTGGCTGGCTGGCTGGCTGGCGCCCCTGCTGAGTCAGGGCAGGTAGCCCTGTGGGGAAAGTGGGAATGGGCACCTACTGTGGGGCAGGTGGGGAAGCCAGGAAAGGAGGGGTCATGAAGCCTCCCACGATCCTGCCAAAGGCCACTGGAGAGCCCCTGCTTCAAGGCTGGCAAGCAGGTGCACGTTCCAGGGTGGCAGTGTCCTAGGAGATTGGCACCAACAAAAGACTATCTTGAGCCATGTGATGTGGGCCCCCGGCAGGGTCTCCCCTGGGCTCCACTGGGGAGTGGGGCATTCATGTGCATAGAAAGTAGGTGCTGCAGAGAAGCCCTGGTCCAGCCCAACCCAGCCCAGCCCAGCCCTCTACGGGCTCCACAGTTTATTCCCCGGTTAGTTTTTTTGGGAGGTGGAGAGATGAAAGGGAAAATGTCATACAAGCTTTTCTCCCACAATCAAGCATTTAAAAACAGTCTTAGAAGAGGAGGAGGAGGAGCAACAAACACCACACATTTTTTGGAACTCAGACACCCAGAGACAGAAACAGGCAGGCAGGCAGGCAGACCCTCACCCACACCCAGGCCATCTGACCCCTTGCAGCCACTCATCCCGGGTCTCCCTGCTCTTCTCACCTCCCTGGAGCAGAAAGGGGTGTGATCACAGGTAGGGGACCCTGCAACCACACCCTGGATCCATCTCCCTGCTCTCAAGCCAACCAGACTTAGGGAAGGAGGGGGCTGAGAAGAGAGAGGGACTTTGCATATTCGAGTATCTTTGGCAGACAGCTGTTCTAGCCTGATTCAAGCTTCCCACGAGACGTCCACATCCAGCCTGCCTGGAATCCACAGGACACGGGCAGGCCCACGCCCACCATGGACCAGGCTTCCTGCTGGGGGCGGGGGTCTCTCATTTCCACCTAAACGTGGTCTCCAAGATCAAGCAGTCAGTGGCTGTGGTCCTTCCCGTGACCAATTCCCCACTCAGGGCTGTATTTTCATATCTTAAAAGCTCAGCCTCCACTAACAGGCTGTGGAGACACCACAGAGGACAACTGAAAGGACACGGAGGAAGGGAGCTGTGCGGCGACAGAGAAGCGCTTGCTGCTGCTGTGCGCGGGCTGGCGAGCTGCACCAGCCCCACGTGCACACAAGGCACACGCATCTACCCAGCAGAGGTGCTGTCCCCAGAGTGAATGGGGGCCACTGCATGAAGAACGGAGGGCAGGAAGTGTGGTGGCATTCTCTGCCAAGAGGAACATGGAAGAGGAACAATCTGAACTGTTATCAGTGTGTGCACAAGGACACCTCTCGGCCTCAGAAACTCCGTCAGCAGAGATCTGTCCTCAAGGCTTCCTCTGCTGGCCACACAGGGAAGTTTGGTCTTCAGAGAGGTTCTGATGCTCACAAGCCATAGGGTTGACAAATACTAATGTCAAAAGTGTAAATCAACAGAAGATTAGAGAGAGGAGAGAGGGAGGGTGATGCCACTGAAAACAAATGGGTCAGGCTCCCGGGACCGGGCGGCTCAGCAGTGCGCTCCTACAGCGCTGACCCGCAGGGGACCCCAAGCTTGCCACCGGCTTCAACCTGAGTGGCTTCCAGAGCAAGCACTATTCTATAGAGTGTTATCCCTTACTTAAAAAAATAAAAGAGAAGAAAGGGGGAAAATTAACATGTGCTCAAAGCTACAACCTCTCTGTAGGCAAAATAATTTTTGTTTAAAAAGATGGCTTATTTTCCCCCATTTAAAACTTTTCCCCCCTTCCCGAGTGACCTAACGACTTGGTAGACTGACACCTAATAAGCAGAGCCCAAGGTGGCTGCATGGATCTCTTCTTGGTAGCCTCAACACCATTCCTGGGATTCAGCATTCACACATGCATACTGAGTTTACTCAAAACTAGTTCTGTTTTGCTTCTTCCTCTTCTTCCGGGATGGGAGATCAGAGCAGGGATCCGTGCGATGTGGTTTGCAATCCAGAGGAACCCCTTGCCCTCCCCCCCAAAGTCGGGCCTTCTGTCTTTTGTTAATTTTTCTTCTTGCTGACACCCGTTTAAGACTGGCCGAAGGGGTAAGGCCCGTGGAGCCCCTGGAAGAGAGTGAAGACAGTCAGTGACGGCAGATACACAGGCAGCCTGACAAGCAAACCAAGCATGGGAATCTAGGGTCCCCAGGAGAGCCAGAAGGATGCCCCAGTCAGACAAGGGCTGAGTGTTTCTCACCAAATCATGCAGTGCAGAGAGGGGAGACACTGCTCATCTTGCTGCAAGTGGATCCAGTTGGTGCCAACCTTCACCCACCCAGGTCCCAAAGCTTTTCTATTCCCTTCTTGTTAATAGTGTCTCGTCCTCTGTGCTGAACATCTTCATGCACCACTTTCTGTTTTTTTTTTTTTTTTTTTATATCAGGGACTGAACTCAGGGGCACTTGACCACTGAGCCACATCCCCAGTCCTATTGTGCATATTTAGAGACAGGGTCTCACTGAGTTGCTTAGCGCCTCTCTAAGTTGCTGAAGCTGGCTTTGAACTCCCGATCCTCTTCTCTCAACCTCTCTAGCCACTGGGATTACAGGCATGTGCCACCATGCCCAGCTTGGCTAACACACTTGTACCAATGGAGATAACATGGCAGGAACCGCAACCATCTAGCCAGCAACCAGGACCAGGCACAGTACTGGGAACTGGTACTTTGCTGTCATTAGTCCTTACCTCTGCCCTGAAAGCAAGTGAATATGGCCACACCCATCTGGGAGATGCCTCTTTTACTACAGACTAAAAAGACTTGTTCAAGGTTGCACGGTTGGTAAGAAGCATAGCCAGGACTCAAACCTAAGTCTGCGGGCCGCAGTGTTCTTTGTTCTCCTTGGGGCTTACTACAAATTCCCAAAGTCACTTTCCATGTGTCTGGCTGAGTGGAAAAGGCTTCCTGGTCTTGCTTTTCCTTTAGATTCAGAATGAGATACCAGATGAGATGTGCCAACACCAAAAGCAGTCACATCACACACTGTAGGATGGTGTGCCTCACTCTGCCCTCCCCTCTTCCTTGGTGAAATCATTTAATATAAGACCTGAAAGTGCACAGCTGACTGGTAGCCAGTCCCCCTATATCCCACACAGACCTAGAGGCTGCAGGGATTAGCTGGTGTGAAGAGCAAGCACTCAGTCATCCCCATGAGAAATGACCTGAGGAGTGTTCCCCGTGCTGGATGACCACAGGAAGAACCCCGAATCTGAGCCCAACTCAAAGCAGGAAGGCATAGGGAGACCAAGATCACGTTTTTTCATTAGTCTGATTGAACGTGGGCAGAGCCAGAATGAGTGCTTTAAAAAAACAAACACACACAAAAAAGATTTCTTTGAAAAGGAATAAAAGTGCCAGTTTGCAGGGTTGCCTATGATCAGAATCCCTTTTCATCGTGAGTACGCTTTCTTTGCTGTCACCCTGCAGGCACGGTACCTAGCCCTTAGCAGGCACCCAAGAGACACTCATTGAATTGGGAACTGGAGGAGGATAGGATTTCTCGGGCTAATGCCTGGAGTGTCAGACCCCCTCATGTCCTACAACAGTGGCCCTTCCAAAGCCAGGTTTTCTAAACAGTTGTGTAGGCTTAGAGATAAGTGTCTGGTTCATGCCATCCATTTGGTCATAGCCTCCTAGGGCCCAGGAAAAAATAGGGGAGGTGATGAGAGTTGCAGGACCCTCCCAGTTCCCACTGCTGCAGTGGGATGCTGCTTCCAGCTTTGCACCCACTCACCAAGTAACCCTGGTGGGGACTCTTCCCTCCACTACCTCAGCTTGCTCCAGAACCTTTCCAGATTTAAGATTTTGAGAGTTGACACAAAGTGCCTGGCTCAGGAAGCTGTAAAACAGTATTCTAAGAAAAACATCTTCTGGTCATGCTTCGGCCAGTCAGAGGTCAAAGCCACCAAGAATGGGGAACATGAGATTAAATTTTCCATATTTTTCTTCTTCTTTGTGGAAATGACGGAATCCCCCTCATCACTGTGTTTTTCCAAATAAAGCCCCCGAAGGCCAGAATCTACTGCTTTGAGATATCACTGAACAAAATATCGGGAGGAGGGAGCCCCAGGATGGGCAGGCCTAACTGAGGAGCTCAGCCACACGCCAAGCATGGCCACAGTGCCTGAAATGTTCTCTTTAATCCTCACAAAGGATCCACTGAGACAAACATGATCTCCCGGCTCAAGAGAAGTGAGGTAACCTGATCGAGGGCACAGCACTGGTAAATGGAGCAGCTGGTGTTTCAAACGCCAAAAATCCCACAAGACCTGCTGATCCCTGAGCCAACTATGCCTCCAGCAAGCCAGCCAAGGCGGCAGCTCTGTCAGCAGCCTCGGCACTACCAGCTCAATCAAGGGTGGCAAAGGGCTCTCAGACTCCACCTGGCACAACTTCCAAGGAAGGCCATGTGCTCCAGAGGTAGGAGGTAAAGCCACTTAAAACAGGCTGCTAACTCAGCATTTCCCAACACCCGCTCATTCAGAGTGAACAGGGAGAGCAACAGAAGCTTAGGTTCTCTAAGATTTAACACCAGGCTTCTGTGCAGGAAAAAAGTGCACAAAGACAACTTGAAAAGCAAATAGTATTGTTTTCTATGAAATATCTCCCCCTTTACCCTAAAAGTAACTGCTTCTTGGCCCAGAGCTCCACCCTGCCTGTGCGCCTCTACAGTACAGGGATGGGCCCGTGACTGGTGTGGAACACGCAGAGAAGGGAAGAAGAGACTTTCCTCTAGAGCTGCTGTGCTTCCCATTTAACAGATAAACAGGGGGTTCTGTGCAATTGTCAGGGGAAAGAGATGAGCACTTTCAGATTCCCACCTGACTGTCCTGGCCCTCAGACCATTAAGTGTCGGATTTAACTAGCTTAGATTATAGTCATCATGGATCCTCTATTTAATGACTGAGGTTCTGTGCTTTTCCAAGGAAGAATGCTACCCAATTTCCTTTAACCCAGGGGAGGAGTGCCTGATGCTTAACTGGTGCAGAAAGGTGGCCTGAGGAACAAGATTATTCTGCTTTCCCCAATCAACTACCATCAGTTCAAGGAAGGGAGAGGGAGCCAATCCTATTTTGAAACTACTCTATGATCTAGAGTCCCTTCATGTAGGATTATAGTGGATCACAGAACACGGGCAACTCAACACCAGTTGTACAGGAGAAGGCTGGCAAAGAATCCAAGAACAGTTTGTCCAGGGTGTCCCATGGCAGAAGACCAAGTGGGAAGTGCCTTTCCTAGCAGAGGGATGGAGGTATGTATGTTCAAGATGGAAGGCCTGTCCCCAGAACTCTGCTAGAGCTCTACGAGCTGGTGTCACAGTTCCGGGGGCCAACACCATCCTGTCCTAAAGGAAGACTGAGGAAATACAAAGCGTGTTCGCTGTCTTCTGGGGTAACTAGCAGCTCTTCTTTATCTGCAAGAAAAGCAGATGCCAATACTAACTAACCTGACATCAATGACTTGTCTTTAAACATGATTTTGGTGAATCTGATGCTGAAGGCTGCCCTTGTCTATGAGGAATCTTGTCCTATCACATAAAGATCAGCAGCCAGACTCATTTAACCATATTTACAGAGGACACAAATACTTGAAACCAGAAAATGACTTGTGGCTGGACACCATGGACTGCTTGTGCCCAGGAGACCAGTGTGGGCAACAGCGAGAGACCTTGTTTCAAAAAACCAACACAACACACACAAACATTTTTATATCCTCCTTTAGTCAGGACCTTCTCTACTTGCAGTTTTCAAAAGCCACAGTGCATGGATCAGCCCCACACCTGCAAAACCTTAGAGTTCTTCCCAAAACTACGAAGGTCAAAATCACCTTTCCAAAAAGGGGTACACTTTGTCTATCTCTTACCTGAAATGGCTGGGACTAGATGTGTTTGGGATTTTTGAAGATTTGCATATATAGCACGGGATATATTGAGCTGGGCATGATGGTGCCTGTCTGTAATCCCAGGAACTGGGGAGGCTAAGGCAGGAGGATAACAAGGTTCAAGGTCAGCCTCAGCAACTTAGAATAAAAAAAAAACAAAAAAAAACTGGGGTTGTGACTTGGTGGTAAAGCAGCCCTGCTTTCAATCTCTGACATGACCCCCCCCCCCAAAAAAAAAAAAAGTATTTTGGGAATGGGATCCAAGTCTACAAATGAAATTCACTTATTTTGTATATACCTTATACAAATAATTTCAGTTTCATAATTTTGTGCATAAAACAAAGTTTCATGGTGTGGAATTTTCCACTAGTGGTGACATTATATTGATGTTCTAAAAGTTTTGATTTTGTCGCATTTTGAATTTCTAAATTAGGGATGCTCAAATCTATACTAAAAAACTGTCAATGAGGGCCGAAGTTGTAGCTCCATGGAAGAGTGCTTGCCTAGCATGTGTGAGACACTGGGTTCGATTCTCAGCACCACATACAAATAAATAAATGTCCATCAACAACTAAAATATATTTTTTAAAACTATCAATGAGAACACATTAACTGTATGCTAGAATTTTTTTGAAAGTTCATTCAATTTTGAATAGTAGTCAGTGACGTGCTATGAGGAGAGCAGGCTGCCTGTGTGGGGTAGGGCTTGTTCTTGCTGATTATTTGTGCCATGCACACAGTTGACTGAAATGTCAGTAAAATGAAGGAAGGAACTGTGAAAGGTGCTGCACCGCTAAGCCAATTCTCTGTTCTATTTTCTAACCTTCTAGGAAAAAAAGGAGACGGCCAAAATTCCTAATGAAAAAAGGCTGTCTCACTGAAAGCTTTTTTGGGTTACTTTTTATATGAAAACTTGTTTAAGATAAACCACCACAACACAGAAACTTTCACATACCTGTCTTTATTTTGCTTTTATTTGTGATTTGGTTTAAATAAATAAAAAGGTTCACACAGCTTAATAAAAGACAGGAGCATTTGCTGCATGGATGCGAAATAACATGCTCTCCCAGTGTATACTGATGGCAGCATCAGATAATACCATGAGGCCCTCTCCTCCTCCTCCTCCTCCTCCTCCTCATTTCCTGGGCCAGTCCCGGTCAGCACTTCACCAGCCTAGTGCTTCTTCTTTTTTTTTTTTTTTTATCACTTATGTACACTGAATGCAAACATAGAAGAATACAGAGTTTAGTACCAAGTTCTGTCCTGATCCTGTACTGCAAACATGGTGTGGTGAGGCCCAGCTCACAGGCCTGGCCTGGGTGGCAGGGGCCAGAGACTGACATGGCCCGATCAACCATTAGTCTCTCATTAACTAGAAATGAAATTAAGCCTGCTGGAGTAACAGGCAGAATGATGAGCACTCTCTGAGGATATTCAAACCAGGGCCTTCCTTGGTGACTGCTGACTGCACACAATCCACTGTGTGCAAGGTAGCTTGCTGGTGGTATAGAAGGGCCACTTCAGCATGAGAGGACTTCTACTGATGACTTAACATTACTTTTCAAGCCACTTTCATGGGAAAATCCCCCCCAAATTCAAAAATTTCTTGTCTTAGCTGAGGATAAGGGTAAGAACCAGCAAAGAACTGGAAAAAACTTACTTTTAAGGCATAAGGGCTGATCACAGGGCAGGCTTAGTTCACAGTCTTCTGCACGGGCATGTGTGTGCTCAATCTTTCTGCTCCCCCAGAGCTGGGCATCAAATCCAGGCCTCACACGTGCTAGGCAAGCACTTTACCATTGAGTCATGCCCCCAGCTCCTTAGTATCTTTTTAAAAGCCCTGTATATCCAATTTTCATACTTACCTCTTAGAACAGTTTTTCTGTTGCTCTTAACTAAATATAATGTCGCTGGGGAACTTCTCTATCCAGCCATCCTCCTTCCACTTACCAACCTTCACCACCCATCCTTCTAGCTCCCTATCACCCATGTCTGTCTAACCTCCTTTCTTCCCTCCATGCACCCTCCAGCCTTCCTCCTCCCATTCATCCAAGCTACCCATGGCCAAAAGCAACTCCACAGCTTCACTTACCATACCCCTTCAGATTAAGAGAATCGCCATCAAACTCCAACATAGCTCAATGAAACTGTTTTATTAAAAGTTCGACAAGGAGATGAAGGATCCTATCTGAGTATGACTTTCCCTTTCCATCTTCAGAAAGATGTCAGAAAAAATTATCTGCTATTTGGACTTCTTCTAGCTTAAAGACACCATGAATCAATATGATAGAATCCAAGTAGGGTGCTCACAGACCTCTCTGTGGGCATCTCTTAGAGTAAGAGGATTCCTAAAAGGAAGAAAGAGACTGGCGGGAGTTCCTATGGGAGGACACCCAAAGAAAAGCAGCTTATCCTCCTTCCTAGCCACACAGCCATTGTAACTGCATTATGGGAGCTCTGCTAAGACACAGGTAAGGCTGCTGGTCCCACTTCCTCTCACACTTTCAAGCTCTTACAATCTTTTTTGTCAACTACCCTTTCCTTAAAAGCTATCATTTGCCCTGGCCATCTCATGAGCAACTCACAGGCATCGCCCCTCACAATGGCTGGCTGCTAGCTGGTTAAAGGAATAGAGTAAGCTGTCTTCTCCTTGGTCCTGGTCATATTGGGTTACATCTTGACCCGTCCTTGCACAGAAGCACTGCTGACTCTGTTTCCTTTCACATTAAACATGGAACCCTCTTTTGCTTGGCTCTCAAAGGTCTTCCTCTGATTCTTCGCCCCACCCTTTCTAAGCTCACCGCAGCCAGCTGGCTGGCCAGTGTCCCCTGCATACACCCTGCCCATAGTTGCCACTGGACCTTCCTGCAAATGGTGATTCTTCCCTCTAATTCAGTTCAAATCCATCAAAATACCATATCTCAACTACTTCAAACCTTACTGTTTTCTTCTCCCAAACACCTGTGAGCACTTAAAAAGTCACCTGGAACTCAGCTTATTTTACCTTTATTGGCTCTCATTCTTTCCTATGGGCTGATCACTTTATAATCAGTAAATTATTTGGAGATAGAAATTAGCACAGGCTGAGTACCCAGGAGATCTCGCTTTCTGACTCAATAGTATCAAAGCTAACTTTATGTAAAGCAATCGATTTTAGCTTGACTTAATCAGTCCTTAAGGCAAAAGCATCACAAGGAAAATGCCCAAGACCCTCAGATCCTTCCAAGGGACTCTGGAAAGGGCTTCACTTTAAGTTGAGCCATAAGGAAGCCCACATCTTCCCTGAGGTACAATATTTTATGTTAGTCTTGTTAGAATACAGTCACGGCAGACTGAGCTAAGAACAATCAATTAATTTGAAACCTGAACATCCATACCTGCAGATAAATTCACACACTTCAGAATTACACTTTTATCTACTTGAACCTGTACTTTCACTACTTCAACTCTGAAATATTATTAGAAATTAAAATGCTGAATTTGAGTACAGGAGAAGGCATCCTTACAACCCAAATAAGTACAACAGCAATCCTGGATACTAGACTAGCTCCATTTTTGCTACAAGACTGCCCAGCATCAGAAAAGTCTAAGACAATGCTCTGAGCCTCAAAGCAAATAAAATGGAGCTGGACAGCCTTTTGAAGCTGTTGAGGTATAAAAGAGAGAGTTCCTGGACATACTTTTTATTTTCGGATAGCAACGTTACAAACAAAAAAAGACATTTTCTAAGTCCACAGTGTTTGCTTAATTTATTTAAAAAATACACACATGACCCATGCCAATGCAAACACCAGCAAAGCTGGGAGAACTTTACTGGCTCTTCTGGGTTTTCAAAAAGAGAATCATCATAATATCATCAAGTCTTCTGGCATCCCCTAAGGTACAGAATGTGCTCAACTGCCACAGAGGTGGGGCAGGTCCCTTAGTTGCTCTGCACTGCTTCCTCCTTGGCCACAAATTCTTCTGCAACTCTCACAGGTGAATGAGAAGGTCTGCACAACCTGACACTAGTGTCTAAATTACCTTCAGAGCCCAGGCAACCAACTTTGCTTGCCAGCAAAACTCATCAACAGTGTGATCTACAACATCAGAATCACACTGGGTCCCTCAGTTCCAGCCCATGGCCCAACCTCAATTTGCTATGGGAATGTCAGCAGTCACTTAAAGCTTCCCCACTGTTTTATATAACTACAAAAGTTACAAGAATGTTGTGAATTAAGAATAAAAATAAAATGGGGGTGGGGGCTGGACTTGTGGCTCAGTGGTAGAGCGCTTGCCCAGCATGTGCGAGGCCTTGGGTTCAGTCCTCAGTATCACATAGAAATAGAGGTATATTGTGCAACAACAACTAATAAATAAAATGAGGGTGTAGCTCCATAGTAAAGCACATCCTCTTGGGAGGTACTGGGTTCATCCCAGCTCCTAAAAGAAAAATCCAGTGCAGCCAAGATGCTTTAGACAGCATGTCACAGACAATGTTAAACCTCACCCCGACCTTGAACCTCTTCTCTATATCAGTGGGAGGGCTCTGCTCCCCCAGGGACACTTAGCAGTGCCTGGAGACACTCTGTGGAGTTGTTATACTGTAAAGAGGGAGCATCGCACTTATGGCATTAAGTGTGTGAAGACCAGGGACGCTGCGAAACATCACACAGCACATAAGAAGAAACACTCCTGCCATGCTCAAAAAGAAAAAAGTTTATCTGGCTTAAAATGTTAGCAGTTGTAGCCAGGCAGCCAAGATATCCTACTCTGTGCTCATCATCTAGGGGATCATACCCCATCTCACAGTATTAGACACTATCGATGTGACACGATATCCAAATTTATATCTTCACCTCAATCCTAAATTCCTCTTCTAAACTTTATACTTAACTTGGATATGCAATAGGCCACTTGACAAAACTCCATCTGGATCTTTATAAAAATCTCTAATATTATATATCTGGGCATGTTGATGCAGGCCTATAATCCCAGCTACTTGGGAGGCTGAGGCAGGAGGATCCCAAGGTCAAAGCTGGGTTTGACAATTTAGTGAGATCTTATCTCAAAAATAGAAAAATAAAAAGGGCTGGGGATGTAGCTCAATGGTTAAGCACCCACCAGGTTCAATCTCCAGTATCAAAGGAAAAAAACAAA